CAACAACAAGGCGACTACTCCGGCCCTCGAGGCGAGCACGCGACCGGTGAGCGGCCCCTCTTCACGGCGTGGGGGTGTGAGCAGGTCAAGTATCTCAAGGCGACCTCGCGCATCCTGCTGGAGCAGCACGGCGGCCGCGTGCCCGACACGATGGATGGGCTGCTCGCACTGCCAGGCGTGGGGCCGAAGATGGCGCTCATCCTGCTGCGGGTCGCATTTGGCAAGGTCGAGGGCATCTCTGTCGACACGCACGTCCACCGCATCTGCAATCAGCTGGGGTGGGCGGGGCCGGGCGGCACGAAGACGCCCGAGCAGACGCGGCGCGCCATCGAGGCGTGGATGCCCGCCGACATCTGGGCGGAGGTGAACCTCGTCCTCGTGGGTCTGGGGCAGGAGGTGCAGACGGAGAAGTCCAAGCTGCTGCGCAAGTGCCTCGCCTGCTCCGACCCGGCAGCGGCGCTGCGGCTCGCCTCGGTGTGCGGCGTCAAGGTCGAGCCCGAGGCGAAGAAGGCGGGGCTCGTGTTGCCGCCCGGCCTCGCCCTCTGACGCCACTCTCAGATAAGATAGCCGGGAGAGGTTTTGGTTAGGTGCACGTGGAGTCTGGTTCCGTCCTGCGTCCCCACTAACGGTGTCCATCGCATGTACAAAGACTCCAGCACCGTCTGTGTACAAAGAACCCATAGCCATACACAAAAAGACCCGCGGCACGCGGCACGCGGGCCGGGGGAGGCACCTCCACCTGTTCTCGGTGACTGTTCTTTTTTTACGCCCATCTCCGATCTCCCTGAAGAGGTGCACTTGGAGCCTTGGAGGTGCCACGCGTTTATTTATTTTTGAGGACGCGAGACTGGAGGCGGCGATGAGTTTTTAACACATCTTTTGAGCTTTTTGAGCGCAAGTGTGCACATGCACATGCACATGCATTGCTACCACTGTGCGGTTCACCACAGGCAGAGCTCAGTTGAGGAGTTGACTCTACTGCTCTTTGCCTCCACGCCTGCCCCTGCGCAGCGGCGCCCCGCTAATCAGATCGAATCCGTCCCCGGCCACCCCAAGCCGCCCTCGTGCCGACCCCAGCCGCGCGGACCCTGGCCGAGAAGGCCGAGCGGAGCCGGGTCGCGAGAAGACGGGGTCTGGATGCGAGTACTGCTGAGGGGACGGTGCGGCCCGAATGGGTCTCTGCTGGCAGCGGCTGTTGGCGTGGAGCGCCAGCATTTGTTGCGCGAGCACGTACGCCTGGACCTGCTGCTCTGGCCACCTATCCGCGCTCTCGGTGATCATTATCCCGGGGGTCGACGGCGGGCGCGAAGACTCGCAAGTGGGCGTCTGGCAGCTGCCGCATGACGAGAGCGATGCGTCCCGCTCGCGGCGCCTCTGCACAAGCCTCTCGCTCCTCGCGGAGACCGCGGAAACAGATGGCTCGCGTGCGGAGTCCAGCGCCTGTCCCGTGCCCGGACTGGCATCTGCGGGCGGCTCAGCCTCGCTCTGGCGGTCGACACGCGGAGGGGGAACCCGAGCTGCCTCCTCTGCGCGAGGCGCCTCCTCCATGACCAGAATGTCCGCCGTCCCACCCGTGACGCCCTCAGTGGCATTCCGTTCCACGGCCGCACAGCGCTGCCGCTCCTCGAACTCGCGCCGGTACCGCTCAAACTTCCCTTCGCGAGGAGGCGCCGTCTCCCTATGCTTAGCGTCCTCCCGGGGCGCCCCGTGGCCTTGCGCGGCCATATCACACCGCCCTTTGCCCCTCAGCGCGCGGCCATCGTGTCGGTCCCGGCGGTTCACATCGGTTGAGGGGCTATCTGTGGAGGATACAGCTTCTCTCGCCGTCTGCGCCGTCGGCTCCCCACCGAGCGAATGGTCGCCTGGTGCGGGTGCGGCCTCGCTCGGCGCAGCTTGAGCAGCGCGGTCCAGCTCCAGCCCTTTCGCCCACTCCAGGACCCGCTGCGCATCGGGCCGCCGATCCAAATCGAGCTGAAGCATCGCACTGACCAGCCCAACCAGCCCCGCCGAGTAGGTTGGGGGTAGCGGTGCGAACTTCCCACGTGCAATCAGGTCCGACACCTCGCGCACGCTGCGCCCGAAGAAGGGCAGCGACAACGCGGCGAGTTCGTAGAGGAGCACACCGAGCGACCACACGTCCGCACCCTCTGTGTACGGCCGTGAGCCCACAATCTCGGGAGCTAGGTAGGCAGGCGTGCCACAAAAGGTTTGCAAGTAGACGGTGTCGTTCGATCTGGCCCGCGAGACGCCGAGGTCGCAGATCTTGGCTCGGATGGCACCGATGGGGACAGAGCGGTACGTCTCGCCGGAGCTGCCCACGTCTTGCCACATGGCGTCTTCCTCTCTCCTCAGGATACCGCGGGCAGTGGCTACGGCGTCCGCCTCGGCAAAGAGCACGACGTTCAAAGACTTGAGGTCGCGATGGACGACACCGTGGGCGTGCAAGTGCACGACTGCAGAGGCAATCTGCGTGAAGAGCGAGCAGATGAACCGCTCGGCGAGCGGGACGCCTCCGAGCCTGCGCCGCGACTGCACAAGCTCGTGTAGATCGCCCAGTGGCGCCGCCTCAAGGACGAGCACGAGTCTGGCTCCTCCTCTGACGCAGCCGCCGCGCGAGCGCCTCCCATCCGATGCCCAGCCCGCAGTGACGTCGGCGCCGCTGCCCTTCCAAAAGTGACCACAGCACTCGACAATGTGCGGATGGCGCGGGAGCCGCGCGTACAGGTCAAGCTCGTGCGCGAGCGATGCACCGGACCCCAGCTCAGGTTTCAGCCGCTCCTATCAGGCACAGGGAGGGGAGCTGTCGAGGTCGGCAACCACGTCCTAAACGGTGGGCGCTCCTAAATGGTGGGCGCTCGTGCTACCTTGAGAATCACAGCCGCCCCGGTGCGGCGATCACGCCCAGCGTAGACAGAACCGCCCGAGCTCCTGTGGATCTCCTCAATAAAGGCAACGTCGTCCGAGCAAAGCTCAGCGCCGCGCATATGCTCGCGAGGCGTTCGCACAACGTCGGCCAACTTCGAATCAGCGCCCGCCATCTTCGCGCCCCCGGCTCCTAGAGACACCTCACTGGTCATCGTGTCCTTGAGCACTTGAGCACTGGATAGGGTCGATTCCGCATGGTACGGGACCCCTCGATCGTCTCGTGTCCTAACTAACTTGTCAGTTAAAAAATGCACGTGTCTGGCTGCGTGATGTTGGGGTAGACTCCCCCCCCTCTCCCGCAGAGAGCAGAGAAAGGAACCACGATATATATTTGTGATGAGAATTTTGTGAGTGATTGATTGATGAACGCACTAGACAAAGGGGGGAGAGAGACAACGACAAAGGAGAGAGAGACAACGACAAAGGAGAGAGACAAGCAAAGTACGGGGAGTAGTACACACAGAGAGTACAAGTCTGGCAGCGTTCTACGGGTGTCCTCAGGGGCAGGCTCTGCACATTTCGGTCGACGAGCCGCTGCGTAGCAGCCGCGTGCATGCATCCACTCCCCAGAAGTCAGCCCAGTCCAGAGCCGTCATCCCGCGCGAGCACCGGATGGATGGGTCGGCGCCCGCAGCAAGCAGCCGCCCGAGAGCCTTCTCGTGCCCACGGATGGCGGCAGTATGCAGGGGCGTGAACCCAAAGGGGTGCCTCGTGCTCGACGGAGAGGAGCCCCGCTCGAGCAGCAGGTCGATCGCTCTGAGGTGTCCGCGGAAGGCGGCCACGTGCAGCGCGGTGCAGCGCGACATTGCCGCGCGCGAGTTGTAGAGACGCTGGCCCAAGCCGCACCTCAGAAGTGGCAGGGGTGCGCTCGCGATTGCGTCGGCAACGCGAAAGATGGCTCTCAGTAAGGGTGAGCCGACCGTATCGCGGCAGTCCTCGACATCACGGCTCAGGCCAATGGCCACGCGGAGCGTATCTAGGTCGCCGAACGCGGTGAGCACCATCCCCGACGGGGAGAGGTCGGGCTGCTCAAGATGCATCAGGTGGGGGTGGTACTCGGCAAAGTAGGCAACGATGGCCGCTCTGCCCGTGAAGAGCGCGAGGTGAAAGGGCCTCCACCCAACCGGCTTGAGGCCCAGGTGGCCCAGAGAAGGGTCTGCCTCCAGCAGCACCTCGACGCACTCTCTGGTGCGAGCGCAGCAGGCTGCGGCGTGGATCGCGGAGGGCAAGCCGGCGGCCACGCTTCGGCGCGGATTTGCACCATGCCGAAGAAGGAGACGGACCATCTCTGGCCAGCCGAAGAGAGCGGCGACTTCCAAGACACCCGCATGCGCGTACGGCGTCAAGGGCCACATCCACTCGCCACGTGGAATGATGTCCTGGGCCGACGCTCCTTGCGCCAGTAGCTGCGCTGCGATGTCGTGATTGCCACTCATGACAGCGCACGCCAGGGCAGACAGAGAGCGGCGCGACGAGGTTTGCACGAGAGACTGCGGGTCCAGCCGGTGATGGTGAACGAACGGTCGCATCCCTCTTGGCACTCTCCACGCAGGTATCGCCTCTTCCAAGCCCGTCAGCAGCAGGCCGGCAATGGCGCGCAAGAACTGAAACGCCGAGCGCTCGCCTCTCTCTTTGGCACGCCGCTCGGCGCGGCCGATGAGAGAAAGGATCACAGGACCAAGCGCAAGCCTGTCACGATCGACACTGAAGGCTCCCTCGCCCACGGAGAAAGCAAAGATGTTGTGGCCTAAAACGCCGCTCGGAGGCCAGGCTCTCATCGCCCTCGTCGACTCGAACACGACGAACGGCCGTGGATGTGGCGACAGCGCATTTGAGAGCTGCTCCATTCGACACCAGCCTCTGCTTTGCCAAGCACGCAAGTCTCGCACCGACCCGTCCTCGTGCGTCCAGGCCCCGGCCAACACAAAAAAGTAGTGGCACCGTGCGACGTATGATGGGATGGATCGGATGAACTGCTCTCGCCAGGAGGCGGACCGGCGGGTCTCCCGCTGAGGGACGCAGCACCAGTCGAGCCAGATGTAGCCGTCCTTGAGCGCGCCAAGCTTCTCTTTCCGCCCCAGCCCGAAAAAGGGAGCGAGTCCGACAGAGAAGGCCTGGATCTGCATCTCCCGGCGCTGCACCCGAGTGAGCACATCCTTAAGCAGCAGAAAGAAGGAGCCCTCTGGGTCCGGGTGCGCACTGCCGAGCCAAGTATGCGAGATGAATGCGGTTGGCTTGTGCTCGTCGTGGAGTTCGAGCCTATCATCCGCGCACAGCTGCTCGTAGCCAGGCAGCTGGTCGTACTCGAGCAGAGAGCTGATCGGCAGCACGTACATGGGTGCGATCGTCGGCTCAAGAGGGTATCGCAAGCCGCTCATCGGTTCCCTGCGTAAGCCGCTCCTCGGTTCGCTGCGTCTCCGCTCGGTCGTCCATCGCCGCCAGCCGTGGGCCTGCCACCCTCGGTCGCGGTCGGTCGCCAGCTCTCTTGCCCGCCTCAAACTCCAGGACGTGCCTTTTGACTGGACGCATCCCCGTTTTGTACCTTTTTCGAGGTGGTGCGTTGGCGCGAGGATTGGTGTCCTAGAGGTTCTCAAGGGGAAATCCCTTTTTCGAGGATTAGTGTGACGCGATCCATGTTCACGTCTCGCAGATTCGTTTCTCGCGACGCGATGATCGTGTTTTCTGGCATCCCTCCCTCTCTCTCTCTCCACCGACCGACCGCTGCGAGCGAGCGATTTTGCGCGTTTTGCGCGATTTTGCGCAATTTATTTGGGAGTTCCCTACGTAGGCCCTCCAAGAGGCTTTCGGTGTCCATATATATTCCAAGATATGCTAGAATATGCTCTGGAATGTACTCGAGTAGTTAGTTGTAGATGGATGATGGTCCAGCTTGATCCTTAAAAGAATAAGGTACCTTGCAGAATATTTTTTACAGCCCAACGTCCTGTGTGATCTGTGATCTGTAAGGGTCCGCCCGCAGGCGCATTTTGTATACCGAGGCGGTGCCCCGGTGCCGAACGCTGTCGGACCTTAAGACAGCCATTGTAGATCCCTTGGGCTTGGCGCTTGGGCGAGGGTGGTGGTGGGGGGGGGGGTCTGGCGGCGGAGCAACCACCTCCTCCCGGCGTGCCGGGAGGCAGGATGTCATCCCCCGTGATCCAGACCGCCCCGTCGGAGGTAGACCGTTCGTCTCCTAGCCAATCAGCCTTAAGCGAGCGGTCTGGCCGTCCATGGCTGGCCGTTGGAATGGCCGAGTTTGGTGTGGACTTGCGTCCTCGCATCGATCTGGTTGGTTATACAAGTAAGTAGCGTTACTGTATGAAATAACAGAACACCCACCACATGAGCCACATCCTGTGTCGTTTAGATAGACGCGAGGCGCGGCCGCAGGTGCGGCCCGATGGGGAGGAGTGGGGCGGACTACGGGGATCGGCTTCTTACGCAGCCCTTGCTCGCAGCGAGCCCCCTCCAACCCACCCCCGCGCTAGGTCTCGGGCGGCGAAGGCGTCACTCCCGACGAACCCGGGAACCCTGTCCGGGAACTACTCGAGTAGCCGGGGCCGTCGGAGAAGGGGCCGTGCACTGACGGTCGGCCGTCAGAAAACACGCCTGCGTGGATCACGTCACCGACGCCAATCCTCGCTACCCAACGCGGCCAAAGGATATCCACCTCGAGAACCTCGAGAGAGAGATACAGACTAATAGAGAAAGAGACGCAGGGTCGCCCCCCTTTTCTCCACTTGTACTTTAAGGTGCCTCGGGCCAGTTTCGGAGGGCAAACCCTGCCCGCCCCCTAGCGCCCCAGGTAAGGCCCAGGTGTGGCCTAGGGCATCAGAAGGGACCAAGAGGAGTCCAGTCTGAGCCATAGAGCCCATGTCTTTGCCCCCGAAGGTCGCGTCCAAATGCCCGGAACGGACGTTACAGTGGTGTCCGGCCGGCACGATCACCGAGCTGTGACGCTCAGGGAAGCCCGATGAGGTACTGGTTTCTTTGCCCAGGGCTGGCCTACGGCCCGTGCTGGATCAGCTGAGCAAGGTTTGGGGAGAATCCTATAGACAGATCTTCAGATATTTTGACGGATGACCGAAAATGGGCAAAAACGGGGTGATTTTGGTCATCATGTGCATGTTCAAATGTTGTGCATGTTCAGAAGCCCTCGTCACTTGACCTGCGAGTCTCCGACTTCAAGAAGATTCCGGCTTCAACTTATCAACTATGTGCTGTCGACGAGGACGAGCACACGGTTACGACTCCACTGAGCTCTGAGATCAGAAGTTAAAAACGGGAAGGAAATTGCGTGAATCTGGGAGGGTCGGGGAGTTACGGGAGAGGGGGGGGGTTCTCTTGAGCAATCTGAAGCCATCGCTCAGGAGGCAGGTTGATGTTATTCAATTTAACTTGAGGGCAAAAGAGAAAATATTTGGCGATCGATGCCGAACCTACCTCGCGCGCGCGCGCGGCAGCGCGCGAAGCGAAAATTCCAGCGGTGAGCAGTTCGGCGTGGCCTCTCGGGCCATAACACCGTGGACCCGGGACGGCTCTCTCATAGCAGCCCATAACATGTTATGGGTGTTATGGCTGTTATGGGGCCTGTTATGGGCTGCTATGCCCAGAGAGCCATAACACCATAACAATAACTGTGTCTGGGGCCAAACAAAGGAGAGCGAGAGACAAACAAAGCTATAAAGGACGGGGAGTAGCTCTACACACACAGAGTAACTGTTCAGAGAATACCTAAGTCTGGCAGGGTTCGACGGGTGTTCTCAGGGGCGCCAGGCTCTGCAACATTTCGGTCGACGAGCCGCTGCGTAGCAGCCGCGTGCACGCACCCACTCCACCCAGAAGTCAGCCCAGTCCAGAGCCGTCATATCCCGCGCGAGCAGCCTTCTAGGGGCCTAGCGAGCACCGGATGTGGATTTTTCGATTTATCGGGCCCTGGTCTGGCCGATTTTTTTCGCGGTATCCGCGGGGCCGAGCGTTTTTGATCTCTGGGTCTGTGGGGGGCCGAGCCGCCTCGGGGTGGCGGGCGGGCGGGCGTTTTGAAAAACAGAAAACAGAAAACAAGAGGGGGCCCGGGGGCCCGGGACCCCACTGGGAGTAGAAAATACGCCCAAGGGGGCCCAAGGAGGCGGCGCGGGGAAGCAGCATCAGGTGAGAGCAGGAAGGATGGCGCTTAGGGTCGGCTTTGAACAAGGGTTTCCAGGTTTTAGATCAGTATTGGTGTCGGCACACATCCCCACATGAGGTCAGCGGCGCGCAGTGCCTCTCTCGCAGGCTGATTTTGGCTGTTTTCGAGCTTGTTTTTGTTTTCAGTCTAGGGGGCCCGACCCCCTCAGAGGCGGCGCGGGCGGGGGCGCCCACAGACCCAGAGATAAAAAACGCTCGGCCCGGCGGGATATGGCGGGATATGGCGGGATATGGCGGGATATGGCGGGATATGGCGGGATATGGCGGGATATGGCGGGATATGGCGGGATACACTCATACAGCGCGCGGCGGGATAGGATACCGGGAGAGATAGAGCGTACCGGGAGACCCACCGGGAGACACCTGGAGATACCGCAACCGGGAGAGATCTAGAGAGAAGAAAAGGGGAGATACGGGGAGATACGGGGAGATGCGAGAAGATGCGAGGAGATACGGGGCGATAGAGGGAGATACAGCAAACGAATCGGCCAGACCAGGGCTTTTTTACCCTAGATGACAGCGCTGCGCCCCTGCGCCGCTGGGGGGGTCCTACCACTCCTCAGCTCCACATGGAGCCGCAATTTGGCCGCCAGATCCGTGCAGAGCCGCTGCGCGGTCTCGGCGCGCGCGACACCCCTCTCCAGGCTCGGTGCGACCGCCGCCGCGTGCGTCGGCGCGCCGTACCCCTCCCCGGCCGCGCCGGCCGCCCGCGGCGGGTACGCAGAAACGACGACGCGCGGCGGTTCGGCGGCGACAGAGATGTCGAGGCGCCATGCCTCTGGCAGAGCTGGCTGCATCAGCCGCGTCACCTCGGCCGACAGCTCGGAAGGCGCCGCGGGCATCGCCGCGTGCAGCACGCCAAGCAGCCTGACACGAGCGTCGATGCTTACTTTTCAGAAGTGATCAGTAGTGCAGCGCTGAGCCGCCTGAGCCGCGTGAGGACAGACTCTCGCTCGTTTGGGGCGTGTCAACACGAATGGGAGGCGTTGCTTCACTGTGTTGTGGCGGCCTGCCGAGCAGCTGTGTGAGGCGTGAGACGGCCGCGTCCGCCGAGTAGAGAGTGGCGCACGTGGCCGGCAGCGGCGTCGTCAGCAGGGCCAGCGCCTCGCCCAGCCAGCGCCGCCACGCCAGCAGCTGCGGCAGCACGAGCTGCTTGGCGCGCTGGGCCGGCGCCGCGAGGGAGCAGCGCAGCGGCGCCTGGTGGGGTGCTGCCTGTGTCTGCGTTGCTCCGGGTGTGGCCGACTCTCCCCGTCCTTCCGTGGCCACGCTGTCTTCACCGCGCCACTATCTCTCTGGCGCCTCCCGGTCGAGCTCCGGCAGCGCTAGCTGGACCTGCAGCGCCTCGATGCGCCGGCCGTTGAGGGCGGCGCTGAAGCGCATCCCGCGGCCCTCGTCGATGTCGCCTCCCCGGACCGCTTCCGGCTTGGCGTCCTCGTCGACCTCGAGGTCCTCGGCGCAGTCGGCGAGCAGCTTTGCGACACGCGCAAGCACAGCCTGGCACTCGGTGTCGAGGAGCCAGGCGAGCTCGAGCGAGTCGGCATCCATGAGCAAGTCGGCACCCCGCTTTTCTCTTTTTCTTTACCGCGCCGCGCGCTTTCTCTTTTCCACCACACTCGTGTCGTGGAATCGCTTGTCATGTGAGAGAGTAAAAGAAAGAAAGAAAACAGCCACGCGAAGGGAGGGATGGGAGGACGGCACGCCGCCACGACACAGGGATTTTAATGTGAGAGAGTGCGTTGTGTTCCTGCGTTGATGCTTTCTCTTCCTGTTGCAGAATGTAAAGAAAGAAAGAAAACACACAACCCAAGGGAGGGATGGGAGAACGGCACGCCGCCACCACACAGGGATTTTAAGGAGGGGAGTGTGGTGCGCTAGCCGAATCCCTTGTAATGTGACCCACGTCCGTTTCTCTTTCCTCTTCAGGCCGCCTCACAAGCTCCCCGACCGCCTGCTCTCATCAACACGAGGGGAGGAGTGCTCTCGTGGCAATGTCTGTGACGGTCCCGCCCGAGGTTCAGCGCCAGCTGGGCGAGGCGACGATGCTGTACGCGTACCGCGACTTCCAAAAGGCGATGGCGATGCTGCTCGAGGTCGTGCGGCTCTGCCCGCGGCTGCCGCACCCGTACGAGACGCTCGGCCTGATTTACGAGGAGGAGGGGCACAAGAAGAAGGCGCTGCAGCTCTACCTGATGGCGGCCAACCTCTCGCGCCGCGACGCGGCGCAGTGGCGCCGGCTCGCCGTGCTCGCGACCGAGGTGGGCGAGGCGGAGCAGGCGCTCTTCTGCCTCGGCAAGACGCTGGCGCTCACGCCGGACGACGTCGACTCGCTGTGGGAGCAGGCGCGGCTGCACACGCAGCTGGGCCAGCACCGCAAGGCGGCCGCAGGCCTCGCCTCGCTCCTCCAGCACCGGCCACACGACGCGCATGTCGTTCGGCAGCTCGCGATCTCGTACACGGAGCTGGGCGCGGCGGACCGCGCGATTGAGCTGCTCTCGCACGTCACCGCCTCCCTCACCAAGGAGTCTCCGCCCGCCGCCGCCGCTTCCAGCTCTGCGGCAGGCGGCGCGGCAGACGAGCGGCGCGCGGGCGGCGGCGTGGGTGGCGGCGGCGGCGGCGGCAGCGAGGGCGAGGGCGGCGTCGAGGGCGGAGGCGGCGGCGAGGGCGGAGGCGGCGGCGAGGGCGGAGGCGGAGGCGGAGGAGGCGAGGGCGGCGGCCGCGAGGTGGCCGCGCCCGCGTCGGCCACGACTTGCGCGCTGGAGCCGGCGGAGGAGCCGGGGCACTCCACACCCCAAGAGTACCGCGAGATCATCGCGAGATCTTCGGAGATTAGGCGTCGGCGGCGGCGCATTGCGCACTCCACCTGACTAACATGCTGCTCGAGGCGAGAGAGAGGGAGGGAGGGGGAGGGAGGGAAGGAGGGAGAGAGAGAGAGAGAGAGAGACAGACAGACAGACAGACAGACAGACAGACAGACAGACAGACAGACAGACAGACAGACAGACAGACAGACAGAGTTAGAGAGAGGCAGGCAGGCAGGCAGGCAACCGAGGAGCGGGTTTCGGAGGCACCGCCGAAGCCCCCTCCAGGCCCTGATCGAGCGCGGCGCGTACTCGGACGGCATCGCGCGCGTGCAGGCGCTGCGGCAGAGCGAGGCGCTCGGGCTGGGTGGCAAGGAGCTGCCGCTCGATCTGCGAGTCAGGGAGGGCGTCTGCTGCGCGTACACCGGCGACAGCTGGAGGACAGAGGCGACTGCGGCTGAAGCAGTCCGTGACCGACGTCGAGAGAGGGTGGCTCGTAGGCCAGCTGGAGCAGGCGGAGCGGCTCTGGCAGCCGCTGCTCCGGAGCGATGCCTCTGCGCAGGGCGGCGGCGGCGGCGCGGAGGGCGGCGGCGCGGAGGGCGGCGGCGCGGAGGGCGGCGGCGGCGGCGGCGGCGGCGCGCTGCCGCTCTCTACCGTGGACGATTTGCTGTACGAGGTTGCGAAGGTGTCCCCTCTCCGCTTGAGGTTGGCAACGAGTCGCTAGCTCCTCCCTCCCTCCCGAGTGTGGGTGTGTGGCTGATGTAGGTGTACCTCACCGTTGGCCGGCCTCTCGTCGCGCTGGAGCTGTACGACCGCCTCCTCGCCTCTGAGAGGTGCGCACGGCCGCTGACCAGCAAGCAGCCAGCGCGTGTGTCCGGCCTTTTCTCTCTCGCCCAGAGACGTGGCTGATCGCTAGCCACGCGACGCTCCGTCGCTACTACTACTGCTAGTACTACTAGTATGATTCTCATTCTCATGAGTCTTGTTATCGCTAGGCACGTCGCCCTCCCTTCATGCCTCACGGTCCATCCCTCGGGGGCAGGTACGCGCCGCTGGTCCACTTGAAGCGCGGCGAGTGCTTGCGCGCGCTGCGCCGCGACGCCGAGGCCGGCTCGGCGTATCCTCACACCAAGATGCATGCGTGTACGAATGACTCCTCACTGATCCGAATGCCAGGCCGCTTCGGCGTACTCGTCCGCCCTCGCCGTTGACGCATGCTCGCAGGAGGCGCTGGTGGCGGCGTGCTGTCTGTCGCTGCGGCGGCGGAAGCCCCGCGAGGCACGGTTCTCGCTTTTTCCGTTGCTGTGGAGAGGCGCTGTTCACACCTCTGGCGTGTGAACAGGTGCTCTCCCTCCTCGAGCTGCACGCGGGGCCGCGGCAGCACAGGGGCGACGCGGGCGACGCGGGCGACGGGGGCGAGGCGGAGGCGGAGGGGCGTGGAGAGGGAGGCGGCGGGGAGGGAGGCGGCGGGGAGGGGGAGGACCCGCGGCTCTTGGCATTGCGTGGGCGCGCGCTCTCTGATCTCGGCGAGCACGGCGCGGCGATCGGTGAGTTGACGCGAGTCGCTGCTTCCTTATGTTTCCTTAGGTGCGCGCTCTCCGATCTCGGAGAGCACGGCGCGGCGGCGGCGCTGCTCCAGCCCCTGCACGACACGTGCTTTGAGCAGCTCGTGCCGACGGGCAGTAAGAGGGGCAAGGGCAAGCGCGCGGTCGCCGGCGCGCAGGCAGCCTCGCGGGCAGAGGAGGAGGAGGAGGGAGGCCGCTCGAGCGCGCCAAAGCGGCCCCGCCTCGCCGTTTCGCCGCCCGCCGCCTCGCCGCCCCGCTGCGGGCAGGACGAGGCGGCGGCACCGACGGCCGCACCGCCGGCCGCGTCCGTCTTTCGACAAGGCGCCGAAGTGCTGCCGGCAGCCACGGCGCCGGGCCGCGAGACGGCAGGCGTGGCGGGCTCGGCATGAGTGAGTATGCCCATCAGTGAATTCGTTGATGATTGAGGCTGCGAGACAGCAGGCGCGGCGGCGAGCGGCGCGGCGCAAGCCTCACCAACGAGCGATGCCGCTGCACCAAGCGATGCCGCTGCACCAAGCGATGCCGCTGCACCAAGCGATGCCGCTGCACCAAGCGATGCCGCTGCACCAAGCGATGCCGCTGCACCAAGCGATGCCGCTGCACCAAGCGATGCCGCTGCACCAAGCGATGCCGCTGCACCAAGCGATGCCGCTGCACCAAGCGATGCCGCTGCACCTAGCGATGCTTCGCGCGGCGGCGCCGCCGCGCCGGCTTCGGGCAGCGGCCGC